TTTTTTTCTTCTTCTTCTTCTTTAAACTTTGATTGATTGAACTAAACTTGTAAAATCATCATATTCATCAAAGTTTCTCATTTCTCTCTTAATACTTAATTCATTACAATTATCTATTAAAAGAGAGATATTTTTTAAGAAGATTTTTGAACCTATATTGTATTTATTTCTTCATCTTCTCATTGAAACACTTTGATTGATTGAATCTAATTTTTGATGAATCTAATTTTTGACTATCATATTCATCAAAAATTTTCATCTAACACTTGAGTTATCATTTATTACTATTCATTGAAGTGTTAGCATCTCTTAGTACTTAATTTATTTGTGTTATGTATCAAGAGAGGAATTTCATTGTAAAATCACTTTGATGAAGTGTGTGTCGTGTTAAAATCCCTTAAAGATCAACATTGTATAATGATCGGTACTCCTTGTTGTAAGTCACCATGTGGGTCATATTGAGATCCCGTAAAACTCAATAGTGTAGGTCGTGTTGAGGTCCCGTAAAGTTCAATATTGTATAAGGATCAGTGCTTATTATTTGTAAGTCACCGGAAGCGTTGTCAAGGGTTGGATTGCACCATAAGTCAATCAACATGATGAAAAGGTCTTGCTCGTGCGGGAGAGCTTGGTAACGAGCGACGTAGATCATTATTTTGCATCGAACCTCCACAAATATATCGTTTGCATCATCTATCCCTTTTACTTATCGTTTTTATATTTGTACTTACTATTTGAATTAATCTATTTAGTCTTTACTTACTTGAATTTAGATTAATTTTTCGAAAAAGTTTTAAAATCAATTCACCCCCCTCTTGGTTAGTTATTCTTGGGCTATCAGTGGTGGTGTTGGCACAGAGGCGACGGTGGTGGCATTTTGGGGGAAATTGGTGAGAGTGGGGTTGGGGAAGGAGATAGGGTGTGGTGGTGCCGGCACAGAGACGGTGGTGGTGCCGACAATATGTTAGCAGTTTTGCCTGGGAAGAGAGGTGTTTATTGTTTTTTATTTTTTTTAAAATTTATTTAATGAGAAAATTGTCAAGTTACCATTTTACCCCTCCTAATTTTGTCAAAATTGGTCCAAATCTACTATTCTTAATCAACTAACGGTCAACTGGACGGAAACCGTCCATTTGGACATCTAGTGCATATTTTTGAAACGTTTGGTACCTTCGGTGACACAAAACAAATGTTTGAGCAAAGTCTACGAAAATTGGAAAGGTTTGATACCGTGGCTGCAATTTTCCCTAATTTTAATAACCAGAAGTAAGTTTACGGCTGAGTATGGGTTGTGTTGGATTTGTTTTGAATCTAACCCAAACACAACCCAACATGTTCAGTTTAACAATAATTCAAACCAAAACCAACGCATTCATGGTTGAAACTCAATCCAATCCAAACCGACCAAAGACCTGAGTTTAATTCAAATTGGACATTTTTTATGGGCCCAATGGTTGTGATCTTTTTCGTTGAATTTGAACAATTTTTTTAAAGTTTGATACCATTTCAATTTGTAATAATTTTAGTTTCATTAAAAAGGGTGATTTGAAAGGCCTTAAGTCGATTGAAGTTAAATTAATATAAATTAAAAATATTGTAAAACCTGTTAAATAGATTATGTTATGATCAAATTAAATACATATTAAATCAAACTAAATATATGTTGAATACCTACATATTATACCTACTGAATAAAATGAATTCAACCTAAATACTAAAAATGTTAAATCATCCAAACTCAACACAAAATATACTCTTTCAATTCAAGTGTTTAGTAAAAATCATGCCAAAAATCGAGTCGAGGCATGAGCAGCAATGAGAGGCAGAAGAGACTTGAGACACATGAGAAATTTGATCATTAGGTTTTAGATTTTTGGTTTTAAGTACTAATTTTTTTTTTAATATTTTTTAATTTATTAGGTTGGTTGGATTGAATTTGATGGATTTAATAGACAACCCGGAACCCAATCTAACATGACCTAAAATTTGATTTCCTAACCTGAATCCAACCCAATTGAACTAAAAAACCAATCCAAACCGGTTGGTTTGGGTTGGGTTGTTCAATTTGATTTGTTCGAATTGATTTTTGCCCAGCCTTAAGTAAGTTTTCCATTATAAAACTGAATTCTAAGAGTTCAAAATTGTTTTGATGATTCAACTTTTAGTTACGAATCAAACTCCTGTGTATTAACCAGTGTTCTAAAAGCGATGTCTAGGCGTGAAGTAGGAGCAAAAAGCATCGCTTCACGCCTTTTTGCGCTTTTACTTTTTTTTTTTTTGGCGCCTAGGCACGACTAGACCGCATTTTTTTTTTCTTTGTTTTTTAACGCTTTCAATGTTTAGGCTCATTTCGGTTGAAACTTGACGTCGACGTTTCGCCAAACTTTATGCTTCTTAGAACACTAGTATTAACATATTTAACGAAGAACTCCATGTTAATTCACTTCTCACCCCCATCAATTTTACATGTGAAATTAAATAAACTTCTATCTAATCTTGTCTCATCCCCCGCCCCCCAACCACCACCACTATTTGACGATTTCTCATTTCGTATTGAAAGGCTCGTAACATTAGAATATTCTATTTAATTATAAATTTTCACATTTTAATGTATTTGATTAAAAATTAAGCCCATGGAGTGGAGTTCCAAGCTAAAGCGACTTTGTGGTCCTCGGATGTTACAAAAGTCAAGTTTTGCTAACCGACAGTCAATAGAATTAGCCATAGGTTATTCCGAGCGAGCAATAAGTTGTCAAATTTTGTCATGCAATTAAAAGAAGATTTCGTCACTCAAGATCAAGGTCAGCACCAGAAAGGTAAGTAAACAGAAAATTCTATTTAAGGTATAATCATAAAATCCTAAACTATTTCCAAATTACTATCACTGCAAAAAAATAGTTGATCTGCACGACTTACTGCAAATCCAAACCCTAAAAAGTAAAACAAATGAATTTTTTCTCTCACTCTACCCCATTACCACTCACCAAAAATCCCCTACTTTATTATAATTATTATTCTCTCTCACCACAGAAACAAGAAATATAGAAAGGGAAAGAATCTCTGACCAAAACACAGCAGCAGATGCAATGGAGCCTAGACAGAAAACCCACAAGGAAAAAAACAACAACCCACATTGCTGAAATTTACTACAATGGGGAAGGCAGAGGATGAGCAGCCTTTGCCTAGTACAACTCTTGATGCTCAAAGTGCAACTTCAAATGCAGGGAACAGTAATGGGTGCTGCTTGGGTTGCAGTAAGGTTGTCACTCTCAGATGTATATTTGTTTTGGTGCTTAGTGTAGCAGTACTTCTATCTGCCGTTTTTTGGCTTCCATTCTTCCACTTTCGGGGTCAAAAGGATCTGGATCTGGATTATCCAGGTTGGTCTCACTATATTTTATATCTCATTTTTTCAAAAACATTTGGATAGTCATTATGGCACATAAAGATCTTTGTGTCTGTGTTTTGTTATGCTAGTGAATTATGTTTGAGCACTTCATAGCTGGGTTTTGTCTGGGGTGTGATGTATTGTTGGTACTCTTCTGGAAGATTGAATATTTGAATTTTCATGGTGATTGGACTGCATTCTGAGTTTTAGGGTTGGTAAACAATTTGGGTTGTTTTTTCTTTTAAAGATTTTAGTCATAGTCAATATAACAAATTTGAAAACTCTCGAGGAAATTTTTGGTTTAAATCACACGTGTAATTGTGCATTATAATGTTGCATACTATATGTTGATGGGATTAGATCTCTCTTTTCTTACACCTATTGCTCTTCATTTTGTTTGTTGATTGGGTTGCTCTTTGATTAATGAAAATGTAAACTAAACGTATCACTGTTCTTTTTAAGATCAAATTTTACCATTGGAACATATTCCACATTGTGTAGGAAATTTCTGGCTTTTTCCATTTTTTTCTATTTTTCTTTTTTTAAATTGTGGAAAATTGAAAGTTTGTTCTGGGGTTGTGACAGTTGTTAGTTTTTGAGTTTTCATTTTCCAATTTAAAGGAATAACCCTGTAGAGCTGTAGGTTCTTTGAATTATTAGATTACTAGTAGTTTGATAGTTATTTGAGGGGATTCCAGGCATAATTAGTGTGTTTAATTAGCTTTTAATTGGAGATTATATCCAAGGTCTCTCAGACTTTTAGCATAACTGCTGGAGATATAAGTTCTTGCCATGCAAGCTTCAGTAACTTGGTGCTGGAGTATTTAATTGTTTTAAGCCATTGAAAGATATTGTAGAAGTATATATTGATTTATTTTCTTGCACATGAACAATCTGAGTTGTCTAATTCAGTGAAGTACTCAATGCCATCTTATGCCGTGGCTTGAACATAAAGAGTTACAAGAAGCAAGGTGGCATGCAGCAGTACTTCATATTACATAATAGAACTGAAAAAGACAATCTTCCAACACTGACAATTTTGTAATTGGATTCAAACATACTACATACTAACGATCTGTGTCTAAGAAAATTAGAAAATGCGGTAAGAAACAGAGAAAAGTGTCTCATTCTAAGTTGACTACATACTTTTTAGGATAAAGAGCATGAAAGTTTTCATTCTTGAAATTTTAGCTATGGCAGCTGTATTAATGAAGTGAACATTGTAGATATTCAATTTTCATTCTTGATTAGACTAAATTGGTGGAAAGAGCGCAAACTTAAAGGATCGGATAGAAGGTTTAAATTTTCACCTACTACTGAACTCCCACCGTCAAATAAGACACGAATGAGGTAAGATATGCCTATATAGAGTGGGAAATCCTAACAGAAAGAATTGGGATGTACATCATACTTTAGTTGCTCGATCCTCTTTGCAAACATGGGAGACAGAAAGAAGGTTCAATCGTTCGCGATACTTGTTTATTTGGATCTGCACAATGAGATAAGAAATGATCAGGTAAGATGCATCTAAATCAAGTGGAAAAGTCTAATACGTAAAGGTGGTTGGACTCTACACGTGTTTGGCTCTCTTAATTACTTTGTATACTAGTTTTCAGGCTTTGTTTGAAAGCTTTAGGCCTATGAGGCTATCTGAAACTGGTAAATCATTCATTTTTGAGGTAATAATTATGGAGCTTCAGCATAAAACTTCACTTATTTAAAAGGTTTTATTTTTGTTCATATGACTTCCTCCACGAGAGAAAATATCAAATGTAACTTGTTTTGTCCTTTTCCAAGTATCATCATTTAGCCTCTGTTTGGAATTTATAAATTGATAGAACCATATGGTGAATAAGTGGATAGTACTTGTGAGTCCATTGGAATGTGTTGTTGAAAATAAAATTTGGCAAATTTATAAATGATTTATAAATTTTCCAAATGGAGCTCGCTAAAATACTAAATATCTCAAAGTTGAGAGTTTAGGGACATTTTACAATCTTCCCTACTTACCAACCCACTTTAAGTTATAGGATTTAGCATTTGTTTTGTCATTTTGTTTTATTTTTAGTGCTTACATGGTATGTTACAATGTTTCCACTATTTTTTTCTCTTTGTGATATAATTAGTGAATACTGAGTGAATTGTGAGTAATCTCTCTCATATTAATATTCTTTTTGTATAAAATTTTATTATTTTTCTTTCTTCATTTATTGTAAACATCTCTCTACTATATTACTATCAGCACATGCTTGTTATGTGATTATACTTTCACTTTGGTTGAATATATTTTTTATTCACACATTTCATAGGATCCACAAACAGTACCACTTATTATCGGCACGTTTTGTATTATCATAGCTTATAACAACTTAAATCAATCACCTACCAAACATGAACACAGTTTTATGACTATTATATTTTCAATGAAGCCCCATTTAGCCATTGTATATTTATAACTTATTTCATAATGTAGGCAAGGAGCAATTTTTAAAAAGGCTTAATCGAGTATTGGGATGTTTTGAGGCATAAGCCTCAAGAAAGATTAATAAATAATTCAAAACATTATATAAGTTCAAAAATATGGTCATAATAAATCATAAACCATGCAAAATATCCATGATAAATCAAATTGATAAAATTAGAAGTTTTGCTTGCAAACATAGATAAATCACTAGAAGAAAAGAAAATAGCCCAAAAACCTAAGGCCAACGATAGAATATGTGGAAAATGCAAGATAAAATACGTGAATAGCACGGTCATCTCGAGACGTAAGTCTTGGTAAATTGTGGTTTAAGCCTCACAAATGACACATAATGGGTGGGATTCAAGGTGTTTTATTAAAGTCTTACATGAGGTGGGATTTGAGGCGTGCCTCAAATGGTTCTCTTAAACAATGGATGGATGTGTAGATAAAATTTAGTTTTGCCCATATATGTTAATGCCCCCAGGTATCTTGAAGGAAAATTAAGGGTGCGTTTGATTGCAAGGGTGGAAAGAAAATGTTTTACATGGAAAAGATTTGCCTAGAATATATTTTGCAGGGAAAATGATTTCAAGTGTGTTTGATTGGTATAATTTTCCAAATTTTTTAAATTTTATATTCGTTTGGCTTTGTTTTACATGAAAATTGTCCATTAAAATGATATTTTTTTTCCACAATTGGTTATAAAATTTGTTTCCATTGCCAAAAAGTAAAAAAAAAAGGGAAAAAAAATTGTTTCCTAAAAAATCATTTTTCTCATCAAAGTTTAGTGTTCGTTTGACTTTGTTTTACATGANAAATTGCACACGTGTGGGGAAAATCTGGAAAATATTTTCCGTGGAAAATTTCGCTTATCAAACAGCCAAAAAAGTGGAAAATATTTTCCTACTTCCCCCGGAAAATGTGGCCTATCAAACACGGCCTAAGAGAGAACCATGAATACGGGCCAGCTCATTTGCACACTCTTAAACTTCTTGACAGAATTGAAACCTTATACATTGAAAACATTCGATAATTTCTAGATGCCATGTTTATAAGCTCTTAAAAACTTGATGTACAAATAACTACTTAGCAAAAGACTACACACGAGGACTTAAATACCACCTAAGAGCTTGAATTCATTAAAAAGTTCATAAGAAAATCCTAGAAATAAAATTAGGAGAACTCATAAAATAATCTCAATATGTGAAATGCAAAACATGAGTTTCTGATTTTTCCATGCCTCAATTACTGCCTGGATTGTAGGAATACTTACTGAGTTGGCTGATGAATGTCAAATCAGAGAGAGCGGTGTGGAGTCTCCTAATGCATGATTTTTGGGGAATTATATAAATATGAAGAAGTGCAAGGATTATGCTATAAATTTGATCAACCAACAGTTCTAATATGAGCATGAAAGTCAAGTAAGGCCACACACAAGCAGTTAAGCAGAACTTCCAACCACAGCTTATGGTAGTTGGATAGTCCAAATGTTTGTTGTTTTCTGATGTTAAATCTTGAATACTTTGTGCTGAAGACAAGCAATGATATACATGTGGCATTCTTTAACAATTTAAGCTTTTAGATTAAGTGGTTCAACACATTATTATTTTATTTAGCATTAATTAGAATCAACAAGGATACTTTTCTTTAAGATTGTCTTTATGAATTCTGTGTTGCAAATGCAGAAGGTTTCCAAAACGTAGTATAATTTTGTTTGATATTCTTTCAGGTCATGATATAGTGGCAAGTTTTATTATTAAGAAGCCAGCTTCTTTTCTCGACAAATATGTCATACAACTCGAGAATGATATTTTTGAAGAAATAAGTTTTCCCATGACGAAAGTACTCACAATTCTCCCTCCCTCTCTCATCCAGTTTTAACTTGTGTTGATCCTTGCTCTCTTTCTTTACAGTAGTAATATAGTTATCTTCTATGACAGGTGGAAATAATACATTTAGCACCAGCTGGATCAAACACAACAAATGTTATGTTTGCAGTTGAATCTGATGTAACAACCCGCAGTTTAATAAGAGCTGCTTTTGTCTCTTTGGTTACACGTATATCATACCTGCATTTGACTCCATCCTTGTTTGGGGATCCTTCTTCTTTTGAGGTGCTGAAGTTTGAAGGAGGGATTACTACCAGTCCTGATCAGAAGGCATTCCTTATGCAGAAAGTTCAGATCCGTTTCAACTTCACTTTGAACTTTTCCATCGATCAATTACTGGACAATTTTAATGAACTTACCAGCCAACTGAAGTCTGGCTTACATCTTGCTCCATATGAGGTCTGACAATATTTTTCTTTCTCACCATGATGAATGTTGTTTTATTGTCACATGAAGCATCTGTATGCTTTTTATGTTTATTTACTAAGTCATGTTTAGCCAATCTTGAAAGGCTTACTTATAAGTTATACAAACTTATAAGTATGCAAAATCTTCTTTGGAAATATGAACATCACTAATTCTGAAATACTGTGTGTGATTGATGATATATCCTTTCAGTGTTTGTGATGATTCCATACAACTAATTAACTTTTTTTGCTTATTTTCTGCAATGCAGAACTTGTACCTTAGCCTGACAAATCTGAAAGGTTCCACTGTGGCTCCACCCACTACAGTTGAGACGCAAGTTCTTTTGGCAGTGGGAAATCCCTCGAAATCAAGGTTAAAGCAGTTGGCTATAACCATCACCGATCCTCATTCCAAAAATCTTGGACTGAATAACACTGTATTTGGCCGGGTTAAGCAAGTTCGTCTTTCGTCTATGCCCCTCGTCAATGATACCTCACCATCTCCATCTCCATCTCCATCTCCGGCTCCTCTGCCACCATCCAACCACCACCACCACCACCACCATGATGCTACTCTTGCTCCCAGTATTTCACCTGCACCATCAATGGGCAAAAGTGGATCTGAAACTGGGAAAGGATCATCAGAGCCTGCGCCAGTGCCTGCACCTGCTCCGGGGAAGAGTCAAGTGGCAAAGCCTCCCGGTTGTCATTCTGGTTACAAAAATAGGTTCCCCCAGAAACCCAATGAGCATTCTCATGGTACACCTACAGCACCTCCAGTTTATGCACCGCGTGTTGCTCCTTCACAACCGCCTCAGCAATCTAATCCACAAAAACCTGATTTACCTCCAGTTCCAGCTGCAAGCCCATTATCGAGTGTAGCTTATGATCATATTCACCCCCCATCAAAGGGTGATTATGCAGGGCCTCCAGATGTAATGCCATTAGTTTCACCTGCACTGTCTCCATGTGAGTATTTGTTTATACTAGTATGGTCAAAACTTACTCCTTCTGTCTCATAACAACCCTAGAAAAATAATTCTTCATAATTGCCAGAATGCTTCAATCCTGCATTAGCAACAATAGTTTTGATAATGTTGTGATTTCTGAAAGGTGTCGATTTCATATTTTTTGAGCCAATATATCCTTTTGCAGCCTCTGCAGGTACCTTTTCGTCTAATTTATGGGCTTTTCCGCTGTTTCTACTCTTAATGCATTTGTGGCAGCAGAGAATGTGAAACATTTGCGGAAATACTGTTCAAACACTGTGAAAGTTATCCCTGTAATATCATCTCACCCGAATTAAACAGAGGAACGGGAGGAATTTTGTAAGTGGGAGCAATGGCAAAAGGGCGCAACACAAGTGATTAAGAAAATATATACTCTTGGGCATGTAAATATTTGTTTGTATTTTCAGCGGCTAGAAGCATTCTGGTCAAAGTCACGGAGGTGACGGGCCTGTGATGAAATGTTTTGCTGCTCTGTTGTGTATGTTATCTCTTCTACATAAATCGAAGGGAGGGAAAATTGTAATACGCCAAATTTTTGTTTCTGTTCTCTTGCGAGTCCCATGATTATTCACACTAATTTGCATACCACGTCATCTTAATTTTGAACATAATAGATACGCTTGTTATGCTTGGCTGAACTGAACATGGTTAAAGAAAGACATAGACGGCCCATCTGAACCCCATTTTTTTTTTGTTTTTTTTTGCCAAAAATACATTTTGGAATAGTAATTTGATAGAGAATGTGTGGTTAAAAAATAAGGAAATTTTTTAGATTTGCGTATTATATTATTTTATTGAAGAATGCATGATTAAAAATAAAAGAGAGAAAAATGCATTTTGAAAATAATGAGGACCTAACAAGGCATATTTTGTGTTAGTTGAAAGGGCATCCAAAAAGCTTGTCTTTCAGTTGATGGTTTATTGTCAAATTGGTAATGTTTTTCTTTGTTTCTGCTTTTTGTAGAAGAGCTTTTCGAGAAGTTACCTTGTTGAGAAAAATTGACGTGCATTTATTATATTTTAATAGCATACCTTTTACGTACATAAAACCAAACATAACTTCAACCTATCCAAGCCAATCATGTAAAGTAAAAATGAGAAATGCATAAATATGAGTTTCGTTGAGGCAATAGTTGAACTTTTTGTCTTTAAAAAGATTATATCTTGCACGGGTCTTCCAAGATACAACTATCACTTTCCGCAATAGGAGCATTCCAAATTATGTAGACAATGAACCTTATTGGTGTTTTGAGTTATCTTTATTATTAAACTCTATTTGAAGTAAATGAACAAATGAATATGCATCAACATGATATACACTTCTGAATTGAATAAATAAAATTCCATACACATGGATCTATATATAGTTATTGGAAAGTCGTGTCTTAAAAGACAACCTTACAAAAGGAGACAACTATTGGAATAAGTCTCTTCATATGAAGAGACATACCTATTAGAAAGAAATAGTTTCAAAAGTCATGATCTTTTATATGGAAAAGCATACCTTTTAGTCAAACGGTTTTAAAATATTTCATAATATTCTACACAATATTTCAATAATTCAAGTATTTAAGTGATTTAATTTCTCATTCACCAATTAACGATTTTTACTTAAATAATCATAAAAATTGGTTAAACCCAAATTTCAATACAAATTCCAACAATTCCCTATATGAATGAAAATTAATGCAAATGACTATGTGGATGCTAAAGAGAGAACATACGGAAATATATTACATCAGGAGAGGTAGCTCCTGGCTTTCAACTTACCTTAGTGAAATACTATCAAATTTACTTGGCTAATCAGTAAACATGATATCTTAAATTGTTCAGTCGTTACTGTAAACCAAGACAACAGTACTCATACAATATCTTCCTTAACACTTTCGATTCTTATGGTTGTATTCATTTTGATTATGAACAACTCTTGAATTTCATAAGTGATTTAAAGAATTTCAATCTCAAGAATTCTCATAGAAGTGACCCCACTTCTCACTTACATATGTGATATCTTATTAAGAGTAATTGCCATACTCCACTTGGGTTGTTCGAACTGTTGAAATTATTAAAAGTTTAACCTAAACTAAAACATTCTGTACATAGCACTTTTTTTTCTTTTTATAATAGGAATGTGTAGAGTAAACTCTCAAGTGCTCATTGAATTTCTGTAACTTAGTTTTCCCATTAAAACCAAGATCTTAAGATTTCCAATCAACAATGTTGGATTAACATTACAAAGATCCTTACATAGTAGACTTTAAGCAAATTCCTCTTGATATGCATACACTTGATCTCTTTGTAAATCTTTTCTTAGTGGATTCACAAGTTTACACCATTTGAGATAAACTGCTTTAAGGTATTAAGTCTATGACGTATATGTCTAGACTTACTATTATGACTGACTGCGTATTTTATATCATTTTCCAATTCGCAATTTGTTTAGAGGATTTCTAACATATACGTGCAATGGCCATAGTAAAACAACTTTACGAGTGGATTTTAGAATCATTGGTATCATGGTACCACTATCCACTAAAATGCAGTTCAATTTATGAATATTATTCAAATATTTCAATACTTTAATTGTATATTTGACACTCATGCAATAACGATTTTATTCACATTTTGACCACTTTTAGTTTAGGACTTCACCTTTGTGAACCATCATCGTAATTCAAAAATTAGTACTAAGGTTTCCTACTTTTTCAACTTTACATAAATTTTTCTATGATTTATAAGATATAAAGAATGTAACTTGTAGAATAAGTTATCCCCAGAATTCCTCAATTAGAAATACATTTGCAAGCATTAATGTTGTCTCAAAAAATCTTGGATTAGGCTCGAACTTAGAGTTCATCAACTATAGATAATGTTCATTTTTTATATTCCACCTTAAATCATATAAAAATGATTATCAATGACAACGTCACTTGGAAGTCAATGAATTTTCCTTGTGTTACCATCTCACAAATAATACAAATGAAAAATGAAGCATCATTATGTATCGACTTAACTTCAGTTGGACCACTCAAAATCAACATATATATCCAAATTAAATTTCCATGCTTAACTGTGTTGGTAGGATCCCAAAATGAGTCATGTACCCAAAAGGATGATAAATATGTTATACTTTTATTAACATATCTAATAAGAGGAAATAAGGGGAAATGGCCGGTTAACCCGGCCATTTTTCCAGTTTGGCTTTTGACCACTTAAAAAAAAAAAGAAAATTGGAAATTTAAGAGCAACACCTAAAAATACCATCTCATTTCCTCACACAGCCGACCGAAAAAGAGGGAAGGAAAAAAAAAAATCTCAGTCGGGATTCAGTCGACCACAACCTCTCTTGTAACGCCCCAAAATTTCACAAACGCTGGGGTATTATCGAAAATTCAATTTCTTTGCGGAACGATAAATATAGAATTCTTTAATAAACAAAATATTGGAATATATATATATACATTCTTAATTAACTAATTCAATAGTAATACTTGAACAATTCAAACTAATAAATCTAAAGTCAGTAAAACTTAGTGTTTTTCGAATGTCGAAATCCCTTGGTAGTCTACTGCACCATTTCGTCACAGTTTCAATCGACCTGAACTAACTTGAAAAATTATAGTAAGAGTGAGTATTTAAAAATACTTAGTAAGATACATGCAGTTTCCATGCACAATTAAATAACAATAATATAGACAATTCGTACCACATTTCTCTTTATAGAGTATATCGATGACCAAGCGGGATACCCATCATTTCTCATTTTGAATTCCCGAATGATTTCACATTTTGTTGGGTCGAACCCGAAGGTCCACTGACAATTAATGCATAAATTACTGAACATAAAAGCATAAGGAAACAAACCACATGTACAAAAATATCTTACCTCGATAAATAAAATGAATTTTCTATGAAATAAATATGAATTCACGTTTCAAATCTTTTTCCTAAATCTCTTTGCCACTGTGTTCACTTTGTGGGTACTATTTATTTTTGTGGTGAATGATGAGACCTCTTGCATGATATTTATAGTTGAAAATAATTGAGTTTTGAAACAATTGAAATAGACTAGCCGTGTTCTACTAAAATTGGACAGAATAGGTTTCAGTATGTAGGTAAAGTTTAACTATTAAATCATAATTATCAATTGGAGTTATAGGCTACATAGGACACACACATGGACCAATATGTTAATAGGTTTCATTGAATTGGAAAATTAATATAAGAATTGAAAGAATGAAAAGTAGTTTTAAGCAAATTAGGATTACCATTAAACTTTATCCAAATCAAAGTAGGATTATAATTAATGATTAGATATTTATCAAACTATGATTACAACTTATCGGTGTAGTAGGCTGCCACTTAATCATGAACCAACTTAATTAATTACCAATTAATGATAACTTCGTTGAACTACAGTGACTTGGACTTCACTTATCCAAATCAACATTTTCTCGAGTCAATGACTTCTAATTAATTAAAACCTACTAAAAGAGTCCAATATTGATGTACTAATATATGCCCTATTATAAACTAATTATTTGGCTCAAATAAAATAAGAAAACAAAATCTATTTCATTTTAGTCCCTCAACTTCAAGCTACCACATAAAACAATAAAATTTTTATCCTAAAAAAAATCTCGGGTGTTACACCTCTCACAGTCGGTAATCCAACCACCGCAATCATTCATCGGCGAAGTGATCTTAACAATGTTAGTTTTTTGTTTTGATTATGATTTTGATTTTTCTTGAATGGTAAAATTTAGATTTAACATTTATTTAGTTTTTTGTTCATTATTTTGGTAGATGGTTGAGTAGAAATGTTAGATTTATTATTATTTGGGAGAAAAACAAGTTTTTCTCTTCGAAAATGGAGCTTTTCGACGAGAAAAACGGAAGAAAAACAGTGGGCGACCGACTGTTTACAATCGCCCAGACTGTTTCTGGCCGACAACAGTCTAGTCGGCCCAGAAACATTTAATTGTTTAATTTGATTTCTATGAATTAAAAATTTTTAGTCCTTTTTAAATGAAATAAATAAATTTTAATTGAAAATTAATAAATTAGATATTTTTTTAACCAATTACCAAATTCATTTTTTCTCTTTTTTTAAAGTTTAAATTTTTTAAATTAAATATTGTTTTTGAACAAATCTTTAATTTTTTTTAATTTTACGTAAATAATATTTATATTCTTTATTTAATTTTTATAATTTTGTTTTGTTTAAT